CAAGGAAATACAAAAACCCCAAGATCCTCTCAGAGAACATAAATGAGGCCTAGATGAAAGGCTGAGCCCAGAAATTTGTGAGGCATCCTAAGGAAATGATGGAATCAGGAGGACACAAGGGCACAACCTTCTTTTGAGAGTGCTCCACACTGGCCCAGGGCTGAGGGGTGCCAGCCCAAACGAGCCCATTTGCAACCCAGACCATCTGGAGAGTGGGAAGCCTCTTCCCACAGGATGGCAAGATGTTGTACAGGAAAACAGAGGGAGTAAAAAATCACCTGAGGGTGGGCATAGCAAGAGAAGCTGAAGGCCACGGTGATGGGGAGGGTGAAGGCTTGGTGTGCCAGCAGGGATGGCTCCAGAGGGAAGGAGTTTCTGGCATAGGTGCATGTGACAGAGTAACACCAATATTTGCTTTGGGAAGATGCCTGAGTTAATCTGCTCAGCAAACTCATGGAGAGACAGCAGATGGGATGGTGCAACCACCCCATGCTTCCCAGTAAGTTTTACTTAGCAGGTACTCATGCCTGGGTGGTGGCAAAGCCTTCCCTCTCCTCATCCTCCAGGGCTCCAAATGCTGGTAGAGGAAAGGATTAAAAGGAGAATGGATGTGAGAGGCCAGTGAAAATGGAGCCACTATTATAGTGAGGGTGACTGAGCTCTGCTGAAGATGGGAACAGACCTGGGTCCTGTCAAACATGTGAGTCACGTTGCATCACCAGGAACCAGGGGAAGGTCTGGGTGTCACAGACATCTTTTCTGAAAAATCCTTTCCTTAGGATTTTTCCTCCTGAGAAGCTGAGAGGCCTCAGGAACAAAATGTAACCAATGATTATCTGCTGCTGTGGAATGCAACAGGTGCATCTGGGATTGGGCTCATGTGGTTGTTTCTAATTAATGGCCAATCACAGCCCAGCTGGCTTGGACAGAGAGCCAAGCCACAAACCTTTGTTATCATTCTTTCTTTTTCTATTCTTAGCCAGCCTTCTGATGAAATCCTTTCTTCTATTCTTTTAGTATAGTTTTAATGTAATATATATCATAAAATAATAAATCAGCCTTCTGAAACATGGAGTCAGATCCTCATCTCTTCCCTCATCCTGGGACCCCTGTGAACACTGTCACAGTCTGGGCTGGCAATGAGGAGCCAGGCTGGGCTTCTTCAGGGTTCTGAATGGTTTCTGTTGTTCAGAGAACCCACTCAAGTGCACAGGACAGAAAATGATAGAATTGCAGGTGACAGTGAAAAGTAGGCAGAGGAAGTTTCAGTGAGATCAGTGAGTCAGTGAGAAGATGGCTTTGAGGAGAAGCGTGGGAGATAGACATTCCTTCAAAGTGCCATTTGACAAAAAAGAAGAAAAAACAAAAAACCCAACCTTTCTGGCCACAGAGTGATTGCAAATCTGTTTGTCAGAGGGCATTTGTGATGCCATCCTTCCCCAGCCCTTGAGAGCCACAAACACACAGAGGGAATGAGAAGGAGCCTGAAGCTGAAGGGTGTTTCTCACACTGCCAGGCACAAAGCAAGCTCTGAAAGTTCTGGGAGTTGCCAGGCCTTTATCCTTGCAGATTTTGTCATTCCATTCCTTCCTCTGTGGAGCAGACAGCAAAACCAGCTCCTGAGTTTAGCAGATTATTCCAAGTGTTGTATCCCCGGGGAATGAGATCCCATTTGTTCCCAGAGAAGGCAAAAAAATGCTGCAGCCCCCATACACAGTGAAACATCCATGATGCTGTCATTGCCTTGTAGATCAGTTGTGGCTTTCCAAGGTCAGGTCTGTGCCTCTTCCTGCTGCCATGAAAATCTCACTTTTACAAGATCAGAAAGGGAATACACAAAGCTTAGCAGGGAATTCTCTGTTAAAGGGGGCAGAAGAGAGGAAAAGCAAACTCTGCTGACAAAGCCCCCCAGAATGGAGCTGCCTCCTGAAGAGGACATCATTCAGAAACAGAACTGGAAGAGAGGTGATGAAGCTAAAAACCAGGCAGAGTTTGATGAATTCCTCCCTCTCCCAAGTTCTGCAGAAAAACACCTTGGAGAGGACAAAGCAAAGAGCAGCGGCTGTGCCATCCCCTTTCCCTTCCCTAAGAAACTGGGATAACTCTCATGATTTCCTTTCTGGTGGATCAGGAGATCCACTGAGGTTCGTGGGCATCTCACTTTGGGCAGGGGACTGGAGGGGAGGAGAGCTGGGAGGGTGAGTCCTGTGCTTGAAGCACAGCAGAGGAGAGCAGGGGTGGTGGTGGTGGTTGTGACATTGCACAGTGGGAAACTGAGACAAAGTGACCCAGAACATTCCACTCAGCAAGAAAATGAGGTTCCCACAGTGCCTGGAGTGGATGGGACAGAAACCTGTGGCCAGCAGGACTGGCCAAAGTGTGACAAGGCTTTGGAATAACCCAAATTTTGGAATAACCCTGGGCTGCCTTTCCTCACCTCTCCACCACCAAGCTCAGGGCATCAAACCCTCCAACTCCCCAGCACATTTTCCAGTAGTTCTACAGAAAATCCTGAATCCTGCTAGATGGAGAACTCATCAGTATTTATGGCTTTTCCCAGTGCCAGAGCAGGTCAGGACATCTGATGCAGGACATCTCAACCAGCACAAATGTGACAGCTCCACCAGCATTTACAGAAGGGGTGGGAGGGAATGGCAATGTCACAGGCACTACATGTGGCACCAGGAAGGAAATAAGTGGCTTCCTATTTGTATTCTCCTTGCCTGCAAGGGCTCCTTGCTTACAACACCAGCCAGGCAGCATTTGCAGCTCTGTGTTAACACCCAAGCTGCAGTTCAGCTCAGTCAGTAGCAATCTGGGGGACATTGGTTGCCTCTGCCATTAGGCACCAAACCCACAAAGCCCCAGTGGTGTTCCAAACACAGCTGGAATCTACTGACCCCATGGCCAAAGCCCTAAATCCTCCCCAGGTCTCAGCAGCCTCAGGTTGGTCACCTCCTTCTCTCCTGGAGGAGAGGCACAACCAGTGTTTGCCATCCCTCCCAGACCTTTGGTACCAGGAGTTTGTGATGAGTTTCCAAGGTGTCACACACTGTTGGATTTTGCCCTTTTCTGACCCAGATATGGGGCAGCTGAGAGGCATTTTAAAAACTTTTATTCCATTTTCAGTCTCATGTGAAGAGTAAGGCAATACAGATGTTATAATTCACCTCATCACAATCAGAAGCCAACTATTTCTTAATTACAAGACATTATAAGTGTTTCTTGCCACTTCTACAGCTTTAGCCACACCATGCTGTAAATGCCTTAAAGCCAATCTTCTAAAATTACCCCTGGTGGGTCCCACTGCAATGCATCTTTCACAGTTCTATTTCTCCAAAGTTCCAGTCTTCTTTGTAAGGCCACCCTTTGGAACATTTCCAGTTCCATTTCTCTCTCAGCAATGTCTGTCCCATTCCAGCCTTCTGTCAGGTTTTGAGAATTTTCTACAAATCCATTTCCCACACTACACTGCCTGTGGTGTGCAGGAGGGAGGGATCAGGTCCCTGAGGTCTGGCAGAGCAGAGGGGAGAGGAGATCCCTGCAGAGGGAGAGGGGAGGGAGAGCAGAGGAGGGAAAGGGTGGGACTGGAGATGGAGAAGGCTTTGTGGACTGACAAGGTCAGCAGCAGCAGGGAGGTCACTGTGCCCTGGCAGTGTCAGCAGTGAGGGGCAGCACAGCAGGGAGGTCACTGTGCCCTGGCAGTGTCAGCAGTGAGGGGCAGCACAGCAGAGAGGTCACTGTGCCCTGGCAGTGTCAGCAGTGAGGGGCAGCACGGCAGGGAGGTCACTGTGCCCTGGCAGTGTCAGGAATGAGGGCAGCACAGCAGGGAGGTCACTGTGCCCTGGCAGTGTCAGGAACGAGGGGCAGCACAGCAGGGAGGTCACTGTGCCCTGGCAGTGTCAGCAGTGAGGGCAGCACAGCAGGGAGGTCACTGTGCCCTGGCAGTGTCAGCAGTGAGGGCAGCACAGCAGGGAGGTCACTGTGCCCTGGCAGTGTCAGGGATGAGGGGCAGCACAGCAGGGAGGTCACTGTGCCCTGGCAGTGTCAGCAGTGAGGGCAGCACAGCAGGGAGGTCACTGTGCCCTGGCAGTGTCAGCAGTGAGGGCAGCACAGCAGGGAGGTCACTGTGCCCTGCCCTGGGCACGGGGAGGGCTCAGCTCCAGGGCTGTGCCCAGCTCTGGCCCCTCAGCCTGGGAAGGGCCTGGGGACACTGAGCGGGGCCAGAGGGGCAGCGAGGCTGGAGAGGGGCTGGGAACACAAAGCCTGAGAGGAGCCCCTGAGGGAGCTGGGGGTGCTCAGCCTGCAGCAAAGGAGACTCAGGGCTGCCCCCATCGCTCTCTGCAGCTCCTGAAAGGTGCCTGGGCTCAGCTGCCCTTGGGCTCTTTCTCCAGCAGCACTGACACAACCAGAGCACACAGCCTCCAGCTGTGCCAAGGGAAATTCAGGTGGGAGAGCAGGAAAATGTTGTCATTATAGTGCAAGAGCTCTATTATCTTTACATTGCAAGGGTTCCATATTGCTAGAGTTTCATACCTCCTTGATGGTTCTTGCAGGCAGCTCCTCTAGCACTGACTCTTCCTTGTCCTCACTGTAGCCAACTAACTGCAGTTTCCACCAATCCACTCTTTTATACCACTCTTCCTATTGGCTACAGCTGTGGCCTGTTAACATCAGGCCTGCTCCTAATCTTTAGTAATTGGTTCAGCTGCAACTCTTTAGGGGGTAAGAATACATTCTATACCACCTCCATTTACCCATGCTGTATCCCCCTACAGGAAAAAGCTTTTCCAGCAAGGGGGATCAAGTTCTGCAATGGCTGCCCGGGGAGGTGGTGCAGTCCCCATCCCTGGGTGTGTTTGACAGCCTGGATGTGGCACTGGGGGCCAGGGGCTGGGCTGGACTCCATGGCCTTGAAGGTCTCTCCCAAACCCAGGGATTCTGTGCAGGTGACACCAGCCCTGAGCATCCCAGATGTGTGGCACATTCCCTGTGCCTACCTCGGGCATCTTGACTCGTCCCTCCTGGAAGGAGCAGGAGCTGGGGTCGTGGGTGCACACGTGCCGGTACTTGCACCAGTGGCAGCGGTAGGGGCTCTCCACACACGACAGGCACCTGCAACAGACACAGAGAGCAATCACTCGGCCAGCTGGGTCCTTACGGGGCCTTAAATTTTAGATTTTACATTTTCCAGCTCCTGTTCTGCATCTGTGTGTAGCTCTGAACTCCCTGCAGTGTTTGTGAGCTCTCTTCACAGTTTGGGCACACAGAACAATCCCTCTGCCCTGAGGACCAAGGGCACCTCACAGCCTCAGGCCCAAAAAGTACAAACAAAAGTGAACTGGGAGGGGCAAACTGGGGGAATGTGACTTCATCACCTGAAGCTGCAATTGGACAATTAACCCCGGATATGCAAATGGACCAAACCTATATCTGCCCAAAAAACTCGTGACTGTTGTGAATCTTGGGTCCATCTTTGGTGTAGCCTCTGCCAGGCTTGCACTGCCCAGGGTGTATCTGTTGAAGGCCTTAAATAAATCCCCACTTCATTCTCTAGCTCTGTCCAGCCTCTGTTCTAGGTAGTCCAAGGCATCACTGACAGCCTTTCCCAGAGGAAAATGGGAAATGTTCTCCACAGCTTGGAGGACATTGCTTTTGCAGGAGGACACAGGCTTTGCACTGACCCAAAGAGCTGGATTTACTCTGGCCTGAGCTGGTTGTCACTGGCATCTCAAATGCCTGATAGGATTAAATAATTTAGATTGCATTCATATCATTGTAACTAGAGGAATAATAAATATTTATTGTATTTTGACTGCCCTGGGCACCAGCACAGCAATCCAGTCTGGTTAATTTTCCCACACATGACACAGAGGCCAGAGACAACCTGGGATGTACCAAAGCCAGAAAACCAAAGATGAAGCAGGGAATTTTCTCCCCCTGGGTCCCACAGCTTTATTGGTGTGAGTTCTGCTCAGGGTGATGAGGTCCCTGCCAATATATTAACTCATATTTTTCATCCCAGAGGAGAAGTAAAGACTACTGGAGCAGGTAGCTGAGAAGCAGAGGGCATATTTAGGGCATCACCTCCTCTGGGTGCAGGAAAGATCCATTCCCTTCATCTTACAAGGTTTTGCTCTCCTGTGCCCAGGGGCTGTGCAGAGTCAGAGCTGCAGACACCTCCCCTGGCTGTGTTACAGCACTGACTGGACCTACATCTCACCTCCCTTTAAATTTAATGTGATGTCTGCTCAGCAGCAACCAAACCCAGCTCTCTGCACAGTCCTGGTCGTTCACACTCTGGAGACCTTCATGACAAACACCTGGAGGGGCTGGAGAGTGTCCAGGGAAGGAAATGGAGCTGGGGAATGGTCTGGGAGCTGGGAAAGGGGCTCAGCCTGGAGAAAAGGAGGCTCAGGGGGGACCTTGTGGCTCTACACAAGTCCCTGACAGGAGGGGACAGCCAGGCTCTTGTCTCAGGTAACAAGTGCCAAAATGAGAGGAAACTGCCTCAGGCTGTGCCAGGGGAGGTTTAGGTGGGATAGTAGGAATTTTTTTTCTTGGAAAGGGTTGTAAAGCACTGGCTGCCCAGCACAGGCTGCCCAGGGCAGTGGTGGAGTCACCATCCCTGGAAGTGTTAAAAAGCACTTGGGGACAAGGTTAAATGGTGACCATGGTGGTGGTGCTGGTTGACTTGGGCTTGGTGATCTTAGAGGCCTTTTCCAACCATAACAATTTTCTGATTCTATGAGGGCTTTTCCAACCTTGACAATTTTAGGCTGGGCTTTTAGAGGGACCAACTTCAGAGGGCTTTTCCAACCTTAACAATTTAGGGGTCTTAGAGGGCTTTTCCAACCTAAACAAATTTAGGCTGGGCTTTTAGAGGGCTCAACCTTAGAGGGCTTTTCCAACCTTAACAATTTTCTGATTCTATGAGGGCTTTTCCAACCTTAACAATTTTAGGTTGGGCTTTTAGAGGGCCCAACCTCAGAGGGCTTTTCCAACCTAAACAAATCTAGGCTGGGCTTTTAGAGGGCTCAACCTTAGAGGGCTTTTCCAACCTTAACAATTTTCTGATTCTATGAGGGCTTTTCCAACCTTAACAATGTTATGATTCTATGAGGGCTTTTCCAGCCTCAACAATTTTAGGGTTGGGCTTTTAGAGGGCCCAGATTTAGAGGGCTTTTCCAGACTTAACAATGTTATGATTCTATGCAGCTGCAGTGCCTGGAGGGTACCTTGAGGAGACTTCAGGGAAGTGAATTTTCCTGGTCCTTCTACGCCACTGGGTTTTTAATGGGCAGGAGAGAAAAACTCCAGAGCTCTTGTGTGTGAGCTCAGCAGGCAGACACACCCCCTCTCTCCTGTCTCTGTGAAATCTTTCTCAACCCCAATCCACTCTCAGCTCTGGTACAGCAACTTATTCTTCAAATTGGTAACAAGTGCTTGCTCTGATACATCGAATTAAAAATGGATAGCGTATTATAGTTTGTCAAGTAAGAAACCAAAACACGCCATAAATATTTAACAGCACCATCTCTGCTGCTCTCCCCCCCCTTCCCCAACACTTGCTTTCTGACACTGTTTGTCAAAGCAGCAGGAACATGGAAATAAGATTTGCCTTTCCTTGCGAATTGCTGAGCCACAGTAATTATCTGCTTTTGGCACTTTGTGACGGCTCAGTGGTGGGGACAGAGCCACTCAGCCTTGCTCAGGGCTGGAGCAGCCTGCTGCAAGGACATCTTCTGCAGGCATTTGTGGGTCTGCTCCACTGGGGCAGCTCCTGAGCAGCCCTGGGTGGCAGCAAAATCTGAGAAAAGCGGGATGTGAGGCAGGAAAGGTGCTCGCATCATGGGTAACGTGGTCTTGAGGGAATCAGATGGGTTCAGTGCATATCCTGCAGGAACCATAAGCTTTATTTTTCCAGATGGGAGGGTTTAAGTCTATGTTAACCATCTGGAGTGGGCTACTGGTGGGACTGGCAGCATGGATGAGGGTTGGAGGTGCGTATGAGGAGCCGAAAATCCACAAAGAAATGAGCAATAGGAAGATTAGGGGGCCACATGCTGAGGGAATAACTCAGTTTTGACTCAATTCTGTAGCAAATTGCTCCTAATTCGATGCTCTGCCCGCAGGAAAAGTGGTCCCCATGCTCTGAGTCATCTCAGGAGGGACCCACCATTGTGGGCACCACACAAGTGACCCCAGCCCCTGGTCACCTCCACACTTCAACATCCTCCTGAGGGACACGTGCCCATGAGAAAATGCTGCCAAAGGAACTGAACATACGAGTTGTGGACGCTGCAGTTGTAGAAGACAAAGCTGGTGCTGGCAAAGGTCATCCCCGTTTCCTTGGACTTGAGCTGCAGCTGGACAATGTGATGGTCACCTGGAGGGAAAAATAGGCACATCAGGGTGTGACTGCTCTGTTAGCCCTGGTGGCCAGGCCACCAGCCTGAGCCTGGAGCTGCCCCACAGCACCTTGGCTGGGCTGTCCTCAGTACAGATGTAAAAGAGATGTAAAAAGTGTTATAAAATCCTTCTAGAGCCCAGTTCTCCCACAGGTACAGTGTGTCTTTGCCACTGGAAATTATTGTGCCTGGTAGCGGGGTCTGGACTGGAGAGTGACAGCTTGGAAAACCAAGCTCAAAGAATGAGTGCAGATGCCTGGAATTTGGGGGCCATTAAAATATAATTTTGTCCTTAAAGTTGGTCCATACTGCTGGTTCACTCAACATTCCCAGAGATAAAGGGCATGTGGACATTCCTTCCATGTTCACTCACCCCAGGCTCCATTCCCCTCTGCCTGTGGCTGCAAAGAACCCATCTCAGTGTGAGAGATGTGAAATCCATTGCACTTATAGGGGAATCCACCCATTTCTGCAGCTTTCCCTTTTCACCCCAGCTCCTCCACACCATTTCCCCATCCCTTTTCCCACTGCTCCAAGCTGGGCAGTCAGCTGGGAAGTGATCCAGGTTTAATTCAAGATTTACCTGGGTGGCCCTTTCCCTGCTATTTATAAAAGGGCACAGAGTGATAGGACAAGGGGGAATGGCCTTAAACTGAAAGAGGGCAAATTTAGATGAGATATTACAAAAGAAATCCTTCCCTGTGAGGGTGGTGAGGCCCTGGCACAGGGTGCCCAGAGAAGCTGGGGCTGTCCCTGGATCCCTGGCAGTGTCCAAGGCCAGGCTGGACAGGGCTTGGAGCAGCCTGGGACAGTGGAAGGTGTCCCTGCCCATGGCTGGTGGTTGGAATGAGATCATCTTTTAGGCCCTTCCAACCCAAACCAGTCTATAATTGCATAATTTTCCTCCTCACCTGAGAGATTCATTAATCAGTGAGGCCAGAGCAAACTTGACAAGGGGTCACAAGGAGCACCTGGTGCTCACTCACCCACCTTGGGGCACACACACCACTGGACACATCTTGCTTGGCCCTGCTGCACGTCTACTCTGCCATATTTAACAACTTTGCCAGCATCTTGCAGGTATTTTAAACCAGGATATGAGGACTGGATGGCCCCAGATGTGATAGTCACACGTCCTTTGGTTCAAATCCAGCCTCTGGCACTGCAGGGAGAACTTGGTTTTTGCAGAGGTTCAGAGCAGCAGCTCTGAAGCTGAGACAAGCTGCAGGTGCCCTGAAAGCAGATAAATCTCTCCCTCTTGTCCTGTCTCCACCTTTCACTGCTGTTTTTGTTTGCTGGTTGATGATAGCCTGGCCTGGGACAGATGTCCATGGCAAGGAAAGAATTTCTGGTGCCTGTCTTGGTAAGCAAACATGACTGATAACTCAGTGGGACTTGAGAGTGGTGACAACCTCCTGGGAGCTTGTTTTGGGGCTGCAGCGGAGAGCACAGCAGCTGTGTGCAGCTCAGGGAGAGCACAGGTGATGGTGACAGTTCATGTCACCTCATTTTCTGCGGTCTGAGGAGCTCCAGAGGCAAATTTTACAGCAAATTTTCACAGGAAGCCAAGGACAAAAATTGGCGGCATCCTCTCAGTGTCTCATGGGGGTGATAGCAGGGTCAAGGTTTTTGTAATAAGTCCCTGTAAAGAGCCATAGGAATTCTTGAAATTACCCAGAAAGTTTGTTAGAAAAGGGAAAGGAAAAAGTGCAGGAAGTTGTGGATAGGGGAAGCACCCTTGGAGACAAAGCATTTTTCTGTGCTGGACCACTGTGGGAGAAGGAGCCAGAAGCAAACCTGGAACAGCTGAAGGCAGTAAAGGCCAGGAATGGAGACAGAGAGCTGAGCACACAGACTTAAATCTGGGAGGAGCAGGGTGAAATTACAGGCAGGATTGTCCAGCTCTGCAGGAACTTCTGTCTGTTACACGGGGTGGGATGCGTTGAGAGCCTGTACCCCTGGTGTGTAACTACAGCCTGGCCAAAAGGAGAGGGAATAGCTCACATCCATGTCGTGTCTTTGCTGGATTCGTGCAACTGCCACTCGGTGGCAGCCTGCAAACACCTCGTGTCACACAGAGGAGCACCTCAAGGCAGCTGCTGGGGCTGCAGCTCAAGGCTGGCACTTCTGAAACACTCTGACATCCACACAACATTGCCATGATGTGCAGCTCCAGAGTCCCTCCTGCTCCCAGGGCTTTCCTTGCCCTCTCCTCAGGCTCTCATGAGCCAAATCCTCCTTTGATGATGATGCCTCAGGGTTTGGCTTTTATATTTTTCACATTCTGTACTACTGTAGTGTGTGGGTCTGAGCTTCATATTAGTGAGGTCTCCTCACAGCAGGGAGACAAAATAATTCCATCTCTAGCTGGGCACCAAGGACAAATGACCCAAATCTCAGCCCAGGAGCACAAACACCATGGGCTGGAGAGAGAAAAACAAGCAGGGTGGGACTGCAGGGGCTAAAGCTGGAATGGGACAATGAACTGCAAGATGCAAATGGAGCAGAACTGATCCAAGGGAGAGACCCCGGGAGCACTCGTGCATTTTGGGGCCATTTTGGTTCATCTTGGGTTCATTTTGTGACCATTTTGGTTCACCTTGGGTGCAGCCCTGGCTGGGCTCTTGTGCTGCCAAGGTGCATCTATGGAGGAGATCCTTTCCATAAATCCCTGCTTTATTCTGTAACACTGTCTAATCTCTGTTCTAGGTCAGATTCTCAGGGTATCAAGGACAGACACAGGGTGTGGGGTGAGGATGGGAGGTAGAGGCACAGGTGGAGGAGCTGTGGGGTACTCACCATTCTCTGTGATGATCTGGGGCACCTCCTTGGCAGCTGGAGAGATGCACTGGATCTGGCTGCCCACCACCAGCCCATCCATCTCCGAGAGGTCCTCAAAGGTGCAGTTGACTCCTGCAGACAGCTCGGGGACGTTGTAGGTCTCCAAGACCAGCTGCAGGCAAAGACGGAGGGAGAGAAGGAGAAGCAGAAAAAGAGAGAAGAGAGAACACTGAGCCAAACAACAGAGCTGGGCCAGCAGGAGAGAATTACACTGGAGAGGTCGGACAAAGAGCCTCTTGCTAGAGAGAGAGCATCCTCCTTCAGCAGAAAGCAGCGACTGGGGAGAGGGACCAGTGAGGAGGGGAGGGCACGAGATGCTGGTGCTGGCACAGGTGGCAGGTGGCTGTGCAGGGACAGCTGCACAGTGTCCCAGTGCTGGCTGGGAGGTGCAGGGGAGGGAGTGCTCGCTGTCTCTCATGCAGGTGTCAGGTTAGGCAGGGAGTCTTTGGAGCCAGCCGTGGCCCCCAGGGCTGTGGTGGCCCCCAGGGTTTCTGAGGAAGGTGACTGCTACTCACAAGAGGCACTCTGCAGACTCCAGAGAAACTGGAGCGCTCCAGTCTAACTCTCTACGGGCTGCTCTGCCAGCACCAGCAGGGGGGAGCACTCTGTCCCCAAGTTTCCTGTGTGAGGAGAGTCTAGTTACAGCCTGTCGCAGACATCTTTTATGAAAAATCCTTTCCTTAGGATTTTTCCTCCTGAGAAGCTGAGAGGCCTCAGGAACAAAATGGAAACAATGGTTATCTGCTGCTGTGGAATGCAACAGGTGCATCTGGGATTGGTCTCATGGGGTTGTTTCTAATTAATGGCCAATCACAGTCAGCTGGCTCGGACAGAGAGTCCGAGACGAAGCCTTCATTATCATTCTTTCCTTTTCTATTCTTAGGCAACCTTCTGATGAAATCCTTTCTTCTATTCTTTTAGTATAGTTATAATATATATCATAAAATAATAAATCAGCCTTCTGAAACATGGAGTCAGATTCTCATCTCTTCCCTCATCCTAAGACCCCTGTGAACACGATCATGACAGCCTTCAGTCCACCACAAAAACATCCCCTGTCTCTACAGGCATAGAAACCTCTCCTGCCCATCCCACCAAAGAACCAGGTGGCTCCTCGTGCTGTCCTGGGGTTCCATATGGGAAAAAAGCCATGAAGGAGGATTTGCCTGTGTTTTTGGAGTTCACAACACCCTCTGGCATTGCTCATGGTTATGGGAAAATGAATCTCGGGGCTGGTTTGCACCAGGTCCATGCTTTGGAAGAGCACAGTCATGCTGTCAGCTTCCCAAACAAAGGTCCTGTCCCACAGCTCTCCATCACTGAGGGTCCTGCTCAACTCACCAGGTCATGCCTGAACACAGAGGGGCACCCCAGGGGACCCCTAGCACCTGGGAATTGGTGTAAGTTTAGTGTTTTTGTGACCAAACACTGGCTCCAACCACTCAGCACAGGCTCAAATGCAGATGTTCTCCACACTTGCCTCCTCCCTGAGCTGGCTGAGGTCCCTCTGAGGTGACAGGCACTGAAAGGAGACACAGGTGCATGCTGAGGTGTTGTTTGTACCAGCACAAAGAGCAGGGGTCAGTCCAGGTGACAAAGCAGGACGGATGAGAAGGTGACATAGCACTCAGTGCTCCCACACAGTGTGTTTCCCTCTCTTAGGGAAAGGCTGGAGCTGTTTCTCCACACTGAGGACCATCAGGGAGGAAGGCTGAGCAAACAGGCCTTAGCCCTGGATGCCATTTGAGAGAATAGGATCATTCTGGGGCCATGGGAATGGCAGTGGGAAAGGTGATTTTTTTTTTACTTTTTGTTTTGGATGGGGAACAGGAAAAAAGTTTGGTTGTTTGGATGAGTTTAGCACTGAGGCTGAATTCATTCTCCCTGCTAGCAGTGGAGAAGTGGAATCTGGAATCTGTTTTCCTTAACAAATCTCCCTCTGGGCATGGATGATGCAGGAGGAAGCTGTGCCATGCAGAAGATGACACTGGTGGGCAGACCAGCGCTTGGCCACAAGCTCCATGAGCCAGTGCACAGCCCAAGCAGACAAGAAGTCCTACATCCCACACTCCTGGGACAGCAGGGAAAGCATGGAGCCTTCCCTCAGCAAGCAGCTCTTCTCAGAGAGCCCAGAGCAGTGAAACAGACTCAGGTAAGGTTTTCCAAGGCCCTGTCAGTGCCCAAAATTCAAAAGCGTGGCTGACCACACAAACACCTGCTCTGCCTCCATGGGCAGAACTCACTGTCACTGACATTTTGCTAGAATTCAAGATCCTAGCATTCTAGATTTGAGATCTGCCCAGGACACCATCAACCCTCTGTTTGTTCCCCTCCTGGTTTGCCTCTGCTGATGGGATGAGCTGGGTCACCAGTTTAGCTGGGACTGGGCTGAGACTTCCATCAAAAGGCCCATGCAGATTGTTGGGTAACAGATGATGCCAACTTCTGATCCCAGCAGCTCTGGGCTAACTCACCCTGGGAGTAACCCAGAGGAAAAGGTCTCTTATTCTGTTATCATTTTCAGTCTCCCCGAGCCAGCCAGTCCCCCAGGATTTATTCCAACATGAAAGAATTCAACAGCTACTGAGAGAATACGGAAAGGAAACCTTGAACTCCCAGAAGAACAAAGAACCTAAAATGTCTCAGATCAGTTTTGTTTGAAGCCTGGGGAAAGTAAAGTCACAGCAAAGTTAAGAGGCTGAAACAAAGCAGCAATGATTGGACATGCAGGCTTTGAAAGGCTGATTTCATTATCCCTGGAGAAATCCAAACGTGTCACCTGGAAGGGGTCTGGCAGCTGCCTAAATTCCATTTAGGCCTTTCAGGGTGTGGGGCTAATGACCAGCTTGCCTAGAGATAGAGCTTTTAGGGCCTGGGTTATTAACTTAATTGCAGCCCAAATTAGCATGGTCAAAAAGACAGAGCACTGGTAGCCTGAGAGAAATGAGTTCTTGTCTCCTTCTTGGGGCATGTTGGGATCTCACCACACCTGGTGCTGCTGCCATGAGTCAGGAGGGAAACCACAAACTGGTCAGATCCTCAGCAGAGACTTCCTGCCTCAAGCCCAGGAATGATCAGCATCATCTGCTGCTCTGCCAGAATTCACTGTGTGGTTTCCTTGGCTGCTGACTGAGTAGCTCGAGGGCAGAAAGGTTAAACCTTGTGCTGTGGAAGGTCATAGGAGACAGCAGGAGCCCTGGAAACCTCGGGTTCCTCTGCACAGCATCCTGCCTCCCTGCTCTGCATGCCTAGTGCTGCAGCAGGATGGACTTCCTGGGGGGTTAGAAGGAGACATTTCCATCCAAAATGACAGGATCTTGGAGCTCACTGAAATAATTCATATCATCCTTCACTTGGCTTTCTTCTAGAATGCAATTTCTAACCACAAAAATGTCCCTTGCCTAGAGCTATTCATTAACTCCTCTCCCAGGGCACCACACAGCGCTTGCAGGACACAGAGTCCCTTCAGACCTGCCCTCACAGACAACAAGGAAGACTCTCCCTAGTCCACTTCAAGACTTTTAAACAAATAACCAATGCCAAAATGTCAGAGAATAACCAATGCCAAAACGTCCTCCCGTGGCGAATCTTTCCCTGCGCCAGCAGAGCCGCTACGGAAGTTAACGGAGTCTGGAGAACCTCTTGCTGCTGAATCCCTGGATCTGCCACGCTGCAGGGGCAGGTGAAACCCGAGGAGAGGGGGCAGGGGGTTGTCATTGCTCACCAGAACATTGTACTGGGACACGGAGATGTTGTTGGGGTGCACGGTGAGGCGGACGCACTGCTTCATCTCCGAGGCGAATCTGCGCGGCTCGCTGGAGCGCTCGCACCGCTCCTTCCTCGTGCAGCTGGGGAAACAGGAACACACAGGGACAGGGTGAGCACACAGCCAGGCTGGCAGCATGGGGACAGCTCTGGGGGGTGGGAGCAGCAGTTAGTGTGGATAGAAAGTCAGCTCTGTGCTCTTTGGGAGGGCACAAGTGGAAAACCCTGCTCGCGCCCTGGCGCACTCCGGCTCACAGGATGGTGGGGAATATCCTGAGCTGCAGGGTGTTATAAGTAGAAAAAGCTGCCAATTTTTTTTTAAAAGGTTGCAGAGTTCACAGGTTGGGCCAGTTGCTGCCAGGGTGGAGTTCTAACTGTTTGTTGTTGTAATCACCTGTTGTTTTCATTAACTACCTGTCGTTGATGGTTAAGAACTCCCCCTTTTGCCAGTGACACCCTGCTGCTTCTGGGAGGATGGCACCCAGACAGTGAAGGGGAAGGGACATAGAGTCAGCATGCAAATGACATCAGATCCAGCATGCAATGGGAGAGACCCCTCACCAAACCTAGCCAAAAACCCCTAAAAACAATGAGTTTACATGAAATGGATGAATCAAAGTGATGTATAGACATGAGGAACAGAATCTAGTATCCGCTAAGATGCTTTTTACCCCTCACCCTAACCTAAAGATATCAGCTAGACAGAGAACCTCAACTGTTAAACTGGGAAACACAGGACTCTTTTGATGCTCTTGTGAGGACAGAGCCCCTAGCTCTGCCCACAGACCAGTAGACAAAACTGCACTTTTCTTCCTCTTCTGAGTCACTGTCGGTTCTTCCCCACCCAAGCTGATCACTTTTAATAAAGGCGTTAAAAAGGAGAAAGGTCTCCTGCCCATGTTTATTTTAGTTAGTGTGGACAGAAAGTCGGCTCTGTGCTCTTAGGGACGGCACAAGTGGAAAACCACACTCGTGCCCTGGTGCGCTCATGGGATCGTGGAGAATATCCTGAGCTGCAAGGGACACACAAGGATCATCATGCCCTGCTCCTGGCCCTGCACAGGACTGTCACAGACATCTTTTATGAAAAATCCTTTCCTTAGGATTTTACCTCCTGAGAAGCTGAGAGGCCTCAGGAACAAAATGTAAATATTGGTTATCTGCTGCTGTGGAATGCAACAGGTGGATCTTTGATTGGTCTCATGTAGTTGTTTCTAATTAATGGCCAATCACAGTCAGCTGGCTCAGACTTTCTGTCTGAGACACAAGCCTTTGTTATTCATTCTTTCTTTTTCTATTCTTAGCTAGCCTTCTGATGAAATCCTTTCTTCTATTCTTTTAGTATAGTTTTAAGATAATATATATCATAAAATAACAAATCAAGCCTTCTGAAACATGGAGTCAGATCCTCGTCTCTTCCCTCATCCTCAGACCCCTGTGAACACGGTCACACAGGACACTCCCAAGAGCCCCACCACGTGCCTGAGAGCATTAACTCTGCTGCTGGCAGCTGTGGGGTAGCTCAAGCAGGCTGGGGAGTCACAAGGAGCCTGTAAGAGGAGGGAGGGTGGTGGGTGAAAGCTCCATCCCAGCTGCAGGAATTCTCTGTCTCTCCACCCATCAGCACAACCTTCCCTAGGCCAAACCCTCAGCCCTTCCAACTCTGCTGTCCAAGGGCTGTGGGACACCTCAGACAGGGCTGTCCTTAAAGAGAGGCCATGCACAGCCCATGTTGTTTTTTGTCCCTCCTGAGAATGCTGCACACTTGTGTGGTGCCTCTGGGCTGCTGGTACCTCACCTCTGGGATGGAGCCACCCTCCCAAACAACTGTCCCTGCAGATTAAGGTGTTTTTTGCATCTGCCTTTTTGGGATAGGTCAAGAAATACTTAAAATGTATTGTAATTCAGAAGTAGTTAGCTTCTGATTGTGAGGGGGTGAATTATAACATGTGTGTTTTCTCACCTTTCTCATAAGACTAAAAATAGAATAAAAATTTTTAAAACACCTCTCAGTTGCCCCATCTCCAGGTCAGAAAAGAGTATAATTCTACATGTCTTGAAAATGGCTGACTAGAAGTGCTGAGAGTTGAATCTTAAAAATTCAGGTGTTTCCAACAAGTGACAGCCCAGTGAAATCTGTGTGTGCACACACCCGGGCTGCACAAATGCCTGAAGTTCACACCACCCACTGACTGTTGATGTTTTCAGTGCTGTCACTACCCCTCATCTCACCTGTGTGGTGCAAACACAACCCAGAAAAGTGGATTGGTGGCTGTTTGCCCTGCTTCCACCCAGGTTTGCTCTCGTTTAACATAAACCACATCTGTATTTCACTCCACGCCCGCTGCCAAGGCCATTGCTCCAAGGAAGGTGTCTGCCTGGAAATCCTCAGGGTTAATCCAAAAGGACAGCTCCAGCTGCATGCCAATTACCTCCTGCCATTAAGTTAATGTTATGGACTTGCACAGGGTGTCTTCAATGGATTTTGTTATTAGCAGTGCTATTACCCCCCATTAAAAGCAGCTATAAAGACTTAAGTGCGGATGTTAAATTATTCACCCGCTCCCAGACTTCAGAGTCTCACTTGTGAGAGAGCCTGGGGGCTGCTGGAGCTCCAAGATCACCCCTCAGCATCCCTACACCTTGGAGCAGAGACTGCATCCTTGTGCACGGGGATTTGCAGATGAGGATCCATGGAAACACATGCCACAAATCTCTATATGTGGTTAATCCAAATGTTACAAAGCTTGGGGCTGGCTAAAACTTCAGGGCTTGGCTTCTCTCTAAGGAATGACTAGATGAAATGAACACCCCAACTCCAAATTTCTCCATCTTTCTGGCAAAGTTTTGTATTTCCAGAGGAAGAACCCATAAAGGGATATTTAGGCCATTCTCAGCACACTTTGCAGGTTTGAGGAGCAAAAGGAGCACTGCAGCTCCTGCTCTCTCCTCCCCAGGAATCCTCATCCCATTAAATCTCCTCTGGCACTGCCACATGCTGGATCAGGAATTTTAAACGGGCACTCTCCAGAGGCTTGGACCAATAGCCCATTAAATACCCCCAAAACTCTAACTCCCCCATGGTGGCATGAAAGCCACAAGGCAAAATGCCGACCTGAGATTTTTCCAAGCACTTCCATAAAACAAACAGCCACAGCAATTCCATTAAAGCTCCACAGGGTGTGGGAGCTCCTCTCCTGGGGATAGCTTGGAAGGGAAACCTTTTTGGGCTCAGAATCGAAACGCAAGTGCTCAAATTCTTCAAGATGTTCTGTTATCTCCCATTTATTTCCTTCAGTTGCAGCACAACAGAAACATCTGGATTTTCTAAAATTAAACAGCCTCAGTTCAAATCTATGGATATGGATTCAGCATCCAGGAATGTGGTTTGTATTCCCAATCCCACCACTAAGCAGGAATATAATAATCCACATTTTACCTTGCTGTTTACAGGTCATACACATTTAAAAAAATGAAACTTTTCAGACCAAACTCTTGCTGCATATTAGACTGATGTGCTTTGCGGCCTTGATGTCTGCCATAGGGTGAAAATAATGTCATCCAAAGCATGAATTTATGAAAAACCAAACCAAACTAAGCCTGGGTTTAACATAATGTTAAGGCTGCTGTGTCAGGGTCTCAGGAATTAGGGACTGCCAGACTGAAAGCAGCTTCTGTACTTCCAAATCTGCTGCCTGCACTCACACACTGCAAGCTAGATTTTAATTACAGGATCACAGGTTATTATTCCTTTTTTCCACGGTGACCTCAATACTGCCACTTCCTAACTTTTGACTTTCACTGTCTGACTTTTTGAATGCAGTTCCTCAGTTGGAAAAGCTCTAAATACCTGTGCCTGGTGCTGGAGTCTGGAGGTGAGGGAGTTCTGCTGCGCTGGGCTCTGGGTCAGGGTTCAGGCTCTGGGGTCAATGCCCCAGGTGAGTGACCACAGCTGCCTCAGGAATCAAATCTGAAGGGATGGAGCCCCCTGCCAGTGGCTTTGGCAGGTTTGTGCATGCAGAAAGGGGTGATGGGGGCTCCTTGTTGGGACCCAGGACATTCCCCTGGCTGCCCTGGAGGACTCAAAACTCTGGCAGGGGGCTCAGAGACCCTGGCACGGAGTCACAAACACCTGTGCCTTTGATTTTAGCCCATGGAAACAATTACCAACTTTGTGTGAGGAGTTACAAGCCTCAAGAGTTTGAGCAGAATGATAGTGAATTTATCTCAGGGTGAAAATGTAGAATTTTGGGTTTTTAGAATGGGGGTTCAGAAGCCAAGATGGAGGAATTTGGACATGCCCTGTCCTTCTTCTTCCTAGCCTCCATCTTCTGGGTGATAGTGGCACTTCTGGATTGGTTTAGAGTAGAGCCAGACTGTCTAACATGGGTGATAGGTATTGGAAAATTGTTGTAAATAAGGTAATTTTAATATAAAAAGCTAACACCACCCCAAGGTGGTCAGTGTGCCTCAACCTGACCTGCTGGACAGATCTCAGCAGGTCAGAGAAAGAATGTGATAGATAAGAGCAAATAAACAGCCTTGAAAACCAGAACAGAAGAATCCTGACTCCTTCAGCTGCCAGGCTGGGAGAAGAGACTCTGAGACATCTTGGGGTCCTCCTGACCACAGAGACTCCAAGAGCTCCTCTTCAGATCATTTTATCCATCTGAAGGATGGACAAATTTCCTCCATCTCCTCTACCATGACCACCTCACCTCTCCTAAGCTGGAGCCCCCTGTGGGTTCACACATCACCCAAAGTGTCTGCCCAGCACCTGCAGCTGAGGTTCTCCACGTGGTGGGGTCTCCTGTGATGGATTACACTGAAGGAAGGGAGATTTAGGTTGGATATTATGAAAAAATTCTTTGCTCAGAGGGTGGTGAGGCCCTGGCACAGGTTGCTCAGAAAAGCTGTGGCTGCCCCTGGATCCCTGGAAGTGTCCAAGGTTGCACGAGGCTTAGAGCAGCCTGGGATAGTCCCTGCCCATGGCAGGGGGTGGAACTGGATGATCTTTAATGTCCCTTCCACCCCAAATCCTTCTGTGATCCTACAATTCAGGTGAGCAGAAAAAGATACCTGA